GCGGAGCCAGTGGTAATGAAGGAAGAAAGTTCTAGGAATTGATGGGATACCAGTTGACTTGTTTCAGTTAACATTTGCAGCCCTGGGGCTCGCTAGCAAATTTGGAGGACACGTGTCTGGCTAGTGGATTGGAAGAGGTCCATATTTGTTCCCATCCCTAAGAAAAGTGATCCAGTTAAATGTAGAAACTATAGAACAATATCATTATTCTCAAATACAAGCAAAATACTGCTGAAGAGCATTCAGAAATGGCAAGAACAGTACAAAGATAGGGAACTGCCAGAGTTTCAAGCAGCATTTAGAAGAGGCCATGGAACCAAGGATATCATTGCTGATGTAAAATGGATCCTGGCTGAAAGTAAAGAATAGCAGAAAAACATCTCTTTGTGTTTTATTGATTATGCAAAGGCATTTGACTTTGTGGATCATAACAAGTTGTCACTGACATTGAGAAAATGAGAGTTCTAGAGCACTTAATTGTGTTCATGTGGAATTTATACCTGGACCAGGATGTTGTACTGCAGGTTTAAAATTGAATGTGTCAGGGCTCTTTTCTCTCTCTCTCTCTCTCTCTCTCTGTCACACACACACACACACACACACACACACACACACCCCAGAATTGGAGGGAAACTCATCAATAACCTGCTTTATACAGATAACACAGCCTTCCTTGCTGAAAGTGAGGAATGAAGGAATGCAGCCTTTGGTGGGTTGCATCTTAATGTCAGGAAAACAAAGATTCTTGCCACTGGATCAGTATGCAACATCATGATGGATGAAGAGGACATTGAAACTCTGAGTAGCTTCATCTTGCTTGGATCCACAATTAACACCCTTGATAGCAGCAGTCAGGAAATAAGGAGACGCATTGCACTGAAAGTCTGCAATTAGGACCTCTCCAAATTACTGAGGAGTAGTGATGTCAGTTTGAGGACTAAGATGCATCTGATTCAGGCCATGGTCTTTCCCATCACTTGCTATGCATCTGAGGGCTGGACAATGAGTAAGGGTGATAGAAGAAATGATGCCTTTGAGCTGTGGTATTGGAGAAGAGCCCTGAATGTCCCATGGATGGCAAAAAGAACAAACAGATATATCTTGGAGAAGGATGCAGCTAGAGTGCTCTTTGAAAGCAAGGATGATGAGGCTTTACCTCACATTCTTTGGACATGTTGCTAGGAGAGGCTATTCCTTGGAGAGGGACATGATGCTGGAAAGAGTGGAGGATCGGCAAAGGAGAGGAAAATCCTCGACCAGGTGGAGTGACACGGTGACTGCTGCAATGGTGTCTTGTGTGTTAGGAAGTATGAGGATGGCACAGATAGGACCCGGGTTCATCTCTTTTGTTCATTGGGTCTCTATGAGTCATCCTTAACTTGAGAGGATCTAACAGCAGCAATAACAATAATAATGTACAGTTTAGGTAAAACATCTGTCTGTATCCATGACTGTTATCTATGGAAACAAGGTATATAAGTTTGTGTCAATGCCTTAAGTCTGTTCTGAGCTTTATTAAATAATGTAAACATAGCAAGATGAAGGGAAGAGCTTACAGAGCCTTGAATAGTCATTACAGTAAGTGGGTTGACCACAGCTTACTTTTTCTTGTTTGTTCTTTTTTTCTAGAGTACTAATAAGAAAATAGATCTCACAGCTATAATTCTTTGAACTCACTGCTAATGCCTACTTCTCCCACTGCTTTACTTGATTCCCGAAAGACAGTTGGTTAGACTGGTGTTACTTAGAGTTTTTTGTTGTGTTGGGTATTTTTTTTTTAATGTCAGATTATTGAAAAATAAGGAAATGTTCAAGTTCTTCTATTAAGCAGTCTGTGATTATGAGATCCATTCTTACATGACTTTAGTAAGTCATATTTGTAGATAAGTTACAGGAACTGCTTACAACTCTTATTTAGCCCTACTTTTGTGCAAGAAGTGAGCTCTGATGTCGTGGCCTGTATCAAGTTGTCCTGCTGACCCAGAGGACAACTGTCTCAGATATTTCAAATCCACCAGTGTCTCCTCAGAAGAAAGATTAAACAGTCTCTTCACATTGTGATTCAAGCTTCTGAAACCTGTTGAGTCTTTATGAGTCATTTCAGTGGCATTGAGTGAGTGAATTAGTGTAAGAAATTGGGCTTCTAACAGAAAGAAGCCAGCTGTGGAACCCACTAGCCACTCTGAGGGCTTTTAGATTCTCTTCCTAGTATAACCGAGGAAACCCAGTAGAGGGTCACCAGGTGCTGGAATCAACACTGTAGAAGAGAGTTTGGTTTTTGGGTTGTATAAGTAATTGTTCTGTTCACTAAAAGGCAGGGAGTTCTGATGGTATAGTCTATAGCAAGTTTCACTGCTAACCGAAAGGCTCCACCATCAGCTCCTAGGGAGAAAGATGAGCAATCTTTTCTAATATTTACAACCTCCAAAACCCAGTGTATGGACTAAGCTGTGGGTTAGTTTTGACTTGATGGTAATGAAGGGGAAAAGCAAAAAAAAACAAAAAAAAAAACACAAACCAAAGGTCAGCAGTTTGAAAGTGCCAGCTACTTTGCAGGAGAAAAATGTGGCTGTCTACTCCTATTAAGATTTGTAGCCTCGTTTGAAATAGACTGAATAGCAGTGTATTTAGGTTTTTGTTATTGTTTCGTGCAAGAGAAAGTGGAGAGACTTTTCAGTGATTTAAAAGCTTAAGGCAAAGAATTTGTTGTGGGATAGAATTTGTTGAGTCATTTCAGAGTGAGAGCAAATTAACATACATCCTCTGGTATTAATTATATCTCAACATCAAGAAAACAAAGGTCTTAACGATAGGACTAACAGTCAACATTATGACAGATGGAAAAGAATTAAAGATATCAGTAATTTCATCTTTCTTGGATTAACAGTCTAGTGGTACCAGCAATCAGGAAATCAGATGTATTGCATAGGCAGCAGGCAAGTCCACTGTCAGGGAACTCCATAGTACTGAAGAGCAATAATGTTAGTTGAAGACTAAGGTGTGCCTGATTAAATCATGATCTTCCCAAAACCTGCTGTGCATCAGAGAGCTAGACAGTGAATAGGAATGACAGAAGAAGAATTGTTGCCTTTGAGTTATGGTGATAGAGAACCATATTGACTATCCCATATATTACCCAAAGAACGAACAGCTGTGTCTTAGAAAAAGTGCAGCCAGAATGTTCCTTTGAGGCAAAGATGGCAAAGCTTTGTCTTTCATATTTTATGTGGGGCTTTTTCTGTTTTTGGGTTGGGGTTTGTTTTGTTTGTTTTTTTTCAGACTCTGAACATGCAGGTACCTTGGAAAGGGACATTGTGCTTGGAAAGATAGAAGATCAGCATAGGAGAGAAAGATCCCAATGAGATGGATTGACATGCTGACTTCAGCAGTGGGCTCTAGTGTGTCAGAGATAATGAGATGGCATCCCACTAGTGGTGCCAGAGTTTGACAGGACAAGCAATAAATTTTGGAGAGGATGTGGAGAGATAGGAACTCCATACACTGTTGGTGGAATTAGAAAATGGTACCACCATGCTGGAAGGCAGCCTGATGTTTTCTCAAAAAGCTGTACATAGAAATTCCATGTGACCCAGCTATTCCACTGCTAGGAATATACCACAAGGAAATGAGAGCTGAGATGCAGTCAGATTTGTATACCAGTGTTCACAGCAGTGTTATTCACCATTGTAAGAAAATAAAAACAACCCAGAAGTCCAACCACAATCAAATAAATTGAGACATTGTGGTAAATTCTTGATGGGAAACTACCCAGCACTCAGGAGCAATGATTTTGAAAAATGCTATGCTGAGTGAATTCAGTCTAATAAGGATAAATACTGCACAAGACTATTATTGTATTGCAAAAACAGAAGGATAACTCGTAAAATGTGTATGGGAATCAAAGGGGGAAAGGGGTGGGAGTGGAGGGCTGAGGATGGGGAGAATCATAGGATTGCACAATTGGGTAGATGGAGGGGATAAAGGAAATGGAAGATCCAGTGGGATCTGGAAAGACTGGGTAATGCTGGGCATAATTTCGTTGTGATTAATTTATAAAACACAGTGAATGAGAATGATGTATGAAACACAGTGTATACAGACTTTGTATGCAAACTAGTATAATTTTTTCCCCAAAAAATCTCCACAGTGTATGGGAATGAAACAATGTAATAAAATTATTGTGTGAAAGCCAATAAAATTTTTTTAAAAAAGAAAATGAGATAGCACAGGATAGGGCAAGATTTAAGTCAGCTATTCATAGGGTCACTATGAGACATAATTTGACTTGAGGACACCTGCCAACATAGGGTAAATACTGTTGTTGTTGTTGTTGTTGCTTGCCTTCGAGTAGAGTATAGCATAGGGACCCTATGAACAAAAGGCCTGAAGTCCCTCTACAACTGTCCACGTTATCAAAGTTCGTAGAGTGTCTGGAGGCATGTCATTTAGCTAGTGGATACCACTCCTGCTTCCAAACCTGTCATAGTATGTTAATGTGCCATTGAGTCACCTGTGATGTATAGCAACCCTGTGTACAGCAGCTCTGAACCATTTCCTGTCCTGAGCCAATCTCACTGTATCAATCCATCTCATTCAGGTTCTTCCTCTCCTGTGCTATTCCTCCACCCTTCCAAACATGATGTCCTTCTCCAAGGATCTGTCTCTCCTGGCCACATGTCCAAAGTAAGTGAGGCGGAGCTTCAAAATCCTAGCCTCCAAGGAAATAGTTGGTTTCATCCTCTCCAAGACAGACCTATTTGTTTTCTTGGCACCACAACTTGAAGGCATCCATTCTTCTTCAGTCATCCTTAGTCATTGCCCAACTCTCTGAAGCGTAACAAATAATTGAGAAGACCATGGCCCGGATTAGGCTTACCTTTGTATCTGAACTGACATCTTTGCTCTTAAGCACTTTGGAGAGGTTCATGACAGCAGATTTTCCCAGTGTAATCTGTCTTTTGATTTCCTGACTGATGGTGTTAAGAGTGTTGATTGTGGGCAGCTGGGCAACTATGGAGCCGGACGGCACGTATGAGCCGGGCTTTGTGGGTATCCGCTTCTGCCAGGAATGTAACAACATGCTGTATCCCAAGGAGGACAAAGAGAACCGCATTTTACTCTACGCCTGCAGGAACTGTGATTACCAGCAAGAAGCCGACAACAGCTGTATTTATGTTAACAAGATAACTCACGAAGTGGATGAACTGACCCAGATCATTGCCGACGTGTCCCAGGACCCCACGCTGCCACGAACCGAGGACCACCCGTGCCAGAAGTGTGGCCACAAGGAAGCAGTGTTTTTCCAGTCCCACAGTGCTCGCGCTGAGGATGCCATGTGCCTCTACTACGTGTGCACAGCACCACATTGTGGTCACCGCTGGACTGAGTGATCACCACAACCTTCCTTCCCCTACATACAATAAAGAGCCCATTTCTTTAAAAAAAAAAAAAAAAAAAGAGTGTTGATTGTGGATCTGAGCAAGCTGTAATTGCTAACAACTTCAATCTCTTCTCCATCCCTTATGGTGCTGCCAATTGGCCCAGTGAAGAAAATCTTTGTCGTCTTGATGTTGAGCTTCAATCCATATTGAATACTACAGTCCTTGACTTTCTGCAGCAAGTGCTTTAGGTCTTCTTCAGTTTCAGTGAGTAAGTTTGTGTCATCTGCATATCGTAGGTTGTTAATGAGTCTTCCTCCAATCTTGATGCCACATTGGCTGACACATAAGAATTTCAAGAAAGAACATATGAGCAAGAGGTAGTGCGATGAAAGAGGAAGTAGAGACTGCTTTGAAGGACTTGGCAAAAAATAAAGCCCCAGAAATTTATGGAATACCAATTGACGTATTTAAACAAACAGATGCTACCCTGCATGTGCTTACCAAGTTGTGCCAAGAAATCTGGAGGACAACTACTTGGCCAACTGACTTGAAAGAGATCCATATTTATTCCCATTCCCAAAAACAGATACCCCAACAGTGTGGAAATTATCAAACAATATTACACACTAGCAAAATCCTGCTGAAGATTATCCAGAAAAGACTTGAACAGTACATTGACAGAGAACTACTAGAAATAGGCTGGGTTTAGAAGAGGTCGTGACATGACGGTCATTATTGCCAATGTCAGATGGATCTTGGCAGAAAGCAGAGAGTACCAGAAGAATGTCTGTGTTTCATTGACTATGCAAAGGTGTTTGTGTGGATCACAATAAATTGTGGCTAACCTTGAGGAAAATGGGAATCTCAAAACACTTGGTAGTGCTTATACAAAACCTAAATTTGGATGAAGAAGCAGTTCCCAGAACAGAGCAAGGAAACACTGAGTGGTTCAAAATCAGGAAAGGAGTGCATCAGGGATGCATTCTGTCCTTATATTTTTTCAGTCTGTTTGCAGAACTGATCATTTGGGAAGCAGGGCAAATGTTGTTGTTATGTGCCGTCGAGTCGCTTGTGACTCATAGCGACCCTAGGTACAACAGCCCTAAACCCTGCTCTGTCCTATGTCAGTCGCACTGCCTCTGACACACCCATCCCAATCACCCCAGTCACTGAATCAATCCACCTCATAGAGGGTCTTCCCCTCTTGCGCCATCCCTCCACCCTCCCAAACATGATGTCCCTCTCCAGGGACCTGTCCCTCCTTAAAACATGTCCAAAGTATGTCAGATGAAGCCCCAGAATCCTTGCCTCCAAGGAGCAGCCTGGTTTAACCCTCTCCGGGATGAATCTGTTTGTTTTCTTGGCAGTCCATGGTGCATTCAATACTTTTCTCCAGCACCACAGCTCAAAGGCATCAATTCTCCTTCTATCCTCCCTAGTCCAATTCTCTGATGCATAACAAGTAATTGCAAAGACCATGGCCTGTATCAGATGCGCCTTAGTCTCCAGAGACACACCGTTGCTCTTGAGTACTTTAGAGAGGTCCCTAACAGCAGACTTTCCCATCGCAATATGTTTTTTTATTTTCTGGCTACTGGTACCAAGAGTGTTGACCGTGGAGCTGAGCAAACTGAAGCTGTGAAGAATCTCAGTCTCTTCGCCGTCCATCCTAATACTACCGATTGGTCCAGTGGTGAGAATCTTTGTCTTCTTGACATTGATCCTCAGTCCATATTGGAGGCTGCAGTCCTTGACCCTCTGTAGCAAGTGGATGAGGTCCTCCTCAGTTTCAGCAAGCAGGGTTGTGTCGTCTGCATAACGCAGATTGTTAATAGATCTACCAATCCTGATGCCATATTTCTCATAGAGCCCAGCCTCTCGGATAATCTACTCTGCATACAGGTTGAAAAGGTATGGAGATAGGACACCTCCCTGGCGTACACCCTTCCCAATTTTGAACTGTGCAGTGTTACCCTGCTCTGTTCTGACGACTGCCTCTTGGTCCAAGTATAGGTTTCACATTAGCACGATTAAATGTTCTGGGATTCCCATTCTTCTCAGAGTC